GGTGTCCCCATGTCTCCCAGAGTCACCATGTCTCCCATAGTGTCCCCCTGTCTCTCAGGGTTTCCCCAGTGTCCCCATGTCTCTCAGGGTTTCCCCAGTGTCGTCATGGCTCTGTGTCTCCCAGAATCCCCCAGTGTCCCTGGGCCTCCCAGGATCCCCCAGTGTCCCCATGTATCTCAGGGATCCCCCAGTGTCCCCATGTTTCTGTGTGCCCCAGTATCTCAATGTCTCTGTGTGCCCCAGTGTCCCCATGTCTCTCAGGGATCTCCCAGTGTCTCCATGTCTCTGTGTGCCCCAGTGTTCCCATGTCTATTAGTCCTTATGTCCCTCACTGGGATTTCCCCAGTGTCCCCATGTCTCTCAGGGTTTCCCTAGTGTCTCCCAGGATCCCCCAGTGTCCCTATGTCTCTCAGGGATCCCCCAGTGTCTCCATGTCTCTGTATGCCCCAGTGTCTCCATGTCTCTGTGTGCCCCAGTGTCCCCATGTCTCTGTGTGCCCCAGTGTCCCCATGTCTCTGGGTGCCCCAGTCTCCCCATGTCCCCCAGAGTGTCCCCATGTCTCTCAGGGTTTCCCCAGTGTCCCCATGTCTCTCAGGGGTTCCCTATTGTCCCCATGCCTCGGTATCTCCCAGGATCCCCCATTGTCCCCATGTCTCTGTGTCTCCCAGGATCCTCCAGTGTCCCCCATGTCTCTCAGGGATCCCCCTAGTGTCCCCATGTCCCATGTCTCTGTGTGCCCCAGTATCTCAATGTCTCTGTGTGCCCCAGTGTCCATATGTCTCTCAGGGATCCCCTAGTGTCTCCATGTCTTTCAGGATCCCGTTGTGTCCCCATGTGTCTGTGTGCCCCAGTGTCCCCATGTCTCTGTGTGCCCCAGTGTCCCCATGTCTGTGTTCCCCAGTGTCCCCATGTATATGTGTTCCCCAGTGGCCCTATGTATCTGTGTTCCCCAGAGGCCCCATGTATCTGTGTCCCACAGTGGCCCATGTCTCCCCCATTGTCCCCATGTCTTTCATTGTTTCCCTAGTGTCCCCATGCCTCTGTATCTCCCAGGATCCCCCATTGTCCCCATGTCTCTGTGTCTCTCAGGATCCTCAAGTGTCCCTGTGCCTCCCATGATCCCCCATATCTCCCGGTGTCCCCATGTCTCCCAGTTTCCTCATGTCTCCCAGAATCCCCATGATTCACAGAGTCCCCATGACTCTCAGGATTTCCCCAGTGTCCCCATGTCTCTCAGGGTTTCCCTAGTGTCCCCATGCCTCACAGTGTCCCATAGTGTCTCTTAGTCCTTATGTCTCAGTGGTGTCCCATGTCTCCGAGTGTACTCAAGTATCTCAGTGTCCTCATGTCTCCCTAGTGTCTCAGTGTCCCCTACTGCCCCATGTCTCTCAGGGATCCCCTTGTGTATCCATGTCTCTCAGGGATCCCCAGTGTCCCCATGTAACTGTGTGCCCCAGTGTCCCTATGTCTCTGTGTGCCCCAGTGTCCCCATGTCTGTGTCCCCCAGTGTCTCCATGTCTCTGTGTCCCCCAGTGGCCCCATGTCTCTGTGTGCCCATGTCTCTGTTTCACATGATTCCCCTGTGTCCCTAAGTCTCTGTGTGCCCCAGTGTCCCTATATCTATGTATCTCTCAGGATCCCCTTGTGTCCCCATGTCTCTGTGTCCCTCAGTGTCCCCATGTCTGTGTTTATCACAATCCTCCTGTGTCCCCATGTCTCTTTGTTTCCCATGATCCCCCAGTGTCCCTATGTCTCTGTGTGCCCCAGTGTCCCCATGTTTCTCAGGTTTAACCATGTCTATGTGTCTCCCATGATCCCCCAGTTACCCCATGTCTCCTGGTCCCCATTTCTCTGTGTCCCCCAGTGGCCCCATGTCTCTGTGTCCCCCAGTAGCCCCATGTCTCTGTGTCCCCCAGTGGCCCAATGTCTCTTTGTCCCCATGTCTTTGTGTTTCCCAGGATCCACCTCTGTCCCCATGTCTGTGTTTATCATGATCCTCCTTTGTCTCCATGTCTATGTGTCTCCCATGATCTCCCAGTGACCCCATGTCTCTCTGTCCCCCGTGTCCCCATTTATCTGTCCCCCCCCCAGTGGCCCCATGTCTCTGTGTCCCCCAGTAGCCCCATGTCTCTGTGTACCCATGTTTCTGTGTTTCCCAGGATCCACCTCTGTCCCTATGTCTCTGTGTGCCCCAGTGTCCCCATTCTATGAATCTCTCAGGATCCCCTTGTGTCCCCCTGTTTCTGTGTCCCCCCAGTGTCCCTGTGTCCTCATGTCTCCCAGTGTCTCTCTGTTTCCTGGATTCCCCTGTGTCCTTATGTCTCTGTGTTTCCCCCTGTGTCCCTATGTCTCCATGTGCCCCGTGTCCCCATGTTGCTCAGGGTTAACCAAGTGTTAACATATGTCTATGTGTCTCCCATGATCCCCCAGTGTCCCCATGTCTCTGTGTCCCCCAGTGTCCCCATGTCTCCCAGAGTCCCAATTTCTCCCCAGTGTCCCCATGTCTTTCAGGGTTTCCCCAGTGTCCCCATGTCTCTCAGGGTTTCCCTATTGCCCCATGCCTCGGTGTCTCCCATGATCCCCCATGTCTCTCAGGGATCCCCCATGTTTCTGTGTGCCCCAGTATCTCAATGTCTCTGTGTGCCCCAGTGACCCCATGTCTTTCAGGGATCCCCCAGTGTCTCCATGTCTCTCAGGGATCCCTCAGTGTTCCCATGTCTCTGTGCCCCAGTGTCCCCATGTCTCTGTGTGCCCCAGTGTCCTCATGTCTGTGTCTCCCAGTGTCTCCATGTCTCTGTGTCCCCCAGTGGCCCCATGTCTCTGTGTCCCCCTGTGGCCCCATGTCTCTGTGTGCCCATGTCAGCATTAAAGATGGTCAAAAGTATTAGTATACAACTTTTATAAATATTATTTGTAATTTTTAAGACAATTATTATTATTGTTTTATCTGTATATTTATGCTGATTGAAATGGTCTTGATTGTATTTTTCGTTTTGGTAATATGTTGGATTCACATATTACATTTACACGCACATATATTATTACCCTTTTCTCTCTCTCTTAGCTTACTGTATATTTTATATGTTTTAATTATTGGAACACTCTCTATATGTGCACCCAATATATTGTAGCATTGGGGCACATATTGGTTCTTTTTTCATGAGTCCCAATACTGTCCCTGGTGCTTAGAACAATAAAGTTTTTTTGCTTGCGTTCCACGGTGGAGCAAAAAGGCAGTGTTTTCTGGCCACTGGAGGTGCTTCCTGGCTCAGTGCTGCACAGTAGGCAGTAGTACCGTTCAGAGTTTCCACGCTCTGCATGGTGACGCTGAATTTTCCTCATAGAGATGCAGTGATTCAATGCAGCTCTATGAGGAGGTACTGATTGGACAAAACTGTGTCTGGCCCCACCCCTTCGCTGAAAAATCAGCAATTCTGATGATGTCATCAAGGGGGCGGACCCGCGCATCGCTGGAAATGAGGTGAATTTTATTAACTTTTAAGAGGGTCCGGGGGGGGGGGCAAGCCACCTAAATGGTGGGTTTTGCACTATAGGGTCAGGAATACATATTTGTGTTCTTGACCATAAAAAAGTTTCTTTAAGCAAAGTGGTTTAACTCTTACATGGCATACAACTGAGCAGTGAGACTTTAGGGAAATGATCTATACACCAAAACTGCTTCATTAAGCTAATGCTGTTTTGGTTACTACAGTGTCCCTTCATCCCTTTATGGACTGATTTATGGACTAATTTATACTATTGTAATATGACTCATCCAATATAAAACCAAATATACATATTGTAGAGTTCGCTCTCAGCATTTTGAGAAGATAACAAGTCTAAATATGCAGAATTGCCGATAATATTGATAATAATAGAACCTAATTGGTTCTCATTGTCTGCATAAAGGATGAGAAATTGATAGCTAAAGAATGCAAAACCAACCCCAAAATTTTTTTCAAGTACATCAATTCTAAAAAAAACAAAAAATGAAAGTGTAGGTACACTTGAAACAGAGTTGGGTTTATTAGCTAATGAAGACCAGGAAAAAGCAGAAATTTTAAATAACTATTTTTCTTCAGTATATATTAATGAGGATCCTATGGCAAGAGATATGCAAATGATTGCTGCAAAAAACTTGCAGATAACTTGTGATTGGATAACTCGAGACAAGGTGCTACAGCTATTAAAGAAAATGAATGTAAATAAAGCTCTGGGGCCTGACGGTATTCACCCACGAGTACTTAAGGAGCTAAGTGGGAAAATAAGTGAACCTCTGTATTTAATTTTTCAAGATTCTTTTGTTTCAGGTGTTGTACCGGAGGATTGGAGGAAGGCAGATGTTGTTCCTATATTTAAAAAGGGTTCAAAATCCTTGCCTAGAAATTATAGACCTGTGAGCTTAACTTCTGTAACTGGGAAAATATTTGAAGGGCTATTAAGAGTTAATATTCAGGAATTCATTGGGAAGAACTTTGCTATTAGCAATAATCAGCATGGTTTTATGAAACATAGGTCATGTCAAACTAACCTAATTGCATTCTACGAAGAAGTAAGTAGAAGTATAGATCAGGGTGTTGCAGTGGATGTGATCTACTTGGATTTTGCCAAGGCATTTGATACGGTTCCTCACAATAGGTTAGTCTTCAAACTAAAAGAAATTGGTCTAGATGAATATTCTTGTTCTTGGGTAGAACATTGGCTTAAGGATAGAGTACAGCAAGTTGTAATTAATGGTAAATTTTCAGGCTGGACAAAAGTGGTAAGTGGTGTCCCTCAGGGTTCTGTTTTGGGACCACTTCTATTTAATATATTTATAAATGATCTTGAAATAGGCATTGAAAGCCATGTATCAGTGTTTGCAGATGACACAAAACTTTGTAAAGTAATAAAATGTGAGCAGGATATTGCTTTGCTGCAGAGAGATTTGGATAGATTGGGGGACTGGGCACTAAAATGGCAGATGAAATTTAACATAGAGAAATGCAAAGTTATGCACTTCGGGGTTAAGAATGCACAAGCAACTTACACACTAAATGTTAGTGAATTAGGGATAACCACACACGAGAAGGATTTGGGAATTGTTATAGACAACAAATTAGGCAGCAATATGCAATGTCAATCTGCAGTTGCTAAGGCCAGTAAGATTTTGTCATGTATAAATAGGGGCATAAATTCTCGGGATGAAAATATAATTTGGCCTCTTTATAAATCGATGGTAAGAACACACCTTGAATATGCTGTGCAATTTTGGGCGCCTGTTCTAAAGAATTGGCACTGGAGAGGGTCCAGAGACGAGCTACAAAATTGATAAAAGGAATGGAGCATTTTAGTTATGAAGAAAGGTTAAAAAAATTAAATCTGTTTAGTTTGGAAAAACAGCGCCTGAGAGGGGATATGATAACTTTATACAAATATATTCGGGGCCAGTACAAACCTTTATCTGGAAATCTAGTCATAAACAGGGCTATACATAGGACACGAGGTCACACATTTAGGCTGGAAGAAAGGAGATTTCATCTAAGGCAAAGAAAAGGTTTTTTTACAGTAAGAACAATAAGGATATGGAATTCTCTGCCTGAAGAGGTGGTTTTGTCAGAGTCAATACAGATGTTTAAACTGAAATTGGATAAATACTTACAAAAACATAACATACAGGGATATAATTTCTAATTAGTGAGGTAATAGCTGCTTGATCCAATGAGACATCTGACTGCTATTTTGGGGTCAAGAAGGAATTTTTTCCTAGTTTGTGGCAAAATTGGAAGCGCTTCAGACCAGGTTTTTTGCCTTCTTTTGGATCAACAGCAACAACATTTGTGAGGAAGGCTGAACTTGATGGACACAAGTCTCTTTTCAGCTATGTAACTATGTAACTATGTAACCATGTAATAAAGGATGGTTTTAAAGGACCACTCTAGGCACCCAGACCACTTCAGCTTAATGAAGTGGTCTGGGTGCCAGGTCCCTCTAGGATTAACCCTTTTTTTAATAAACATAGCAGTTTCAGAGAAACTGCTATGTTTATAATGGGTTAATCCCAGCCTAATCCTCTAGTGGCTGTTCATTGACAGCCACTAGAATGATTCTCACTGTGAAAATCACAGTGAGAACATAGCGTCCATAGAAAGCATTGTCTGTGACGAAGTGCCCTTCGCCACTTGTGCCTGGAGAGGACTGCTTGCCCGCCTCTTGCCCTGTGACTATGGCCCCTGGGATGTATTGCCCTTTAAAGACATGATTTGGGCATAATGGATTTGTGTTGTGCTGCTGCTGGCCCTTTAAGAACCATCTGGGGACATACTGTGGAGTTACTGGGTGGCCACCATTTCCTGTATCAGAAGCACATGGTGAGAACAATGGATGGCGGCCATTTTAACTCACAGACACTGTGTGGACTTTTCAACACGGTGCCATCTCGCCAGTATTTGGTGCACAGAGACATCATGCAGTGGTTTTGGACTATACAGCAGGGGACACATTATACAGTGATTGTTTTTCATTTAGCCTGTATATGTTCTGCAGAATCTGCATTAAACTGTATTTTCCAAAGTACTGAACGGATCTGGGTGAATTTTGGATATGTGGTTCACCCAGATCCCCCGGTTCCAAGGATATACTTTTTATGGGGTTATTGCATGTTTTGGGGTCCCTGTGTGTTTTATGAAACTGATATTTCTGGCCAGCAGATAATTGAGCTTTGTGTATTATAGAAACTCAATTATCTAGCCTGGCCCAGAGGAGGAGTTTTGTGTTGCATAAATTGTGAGTTCTGTGTGCCAGTAAATTAGTCTTGTTCCAGCATTAAGCCTTGGCTCATGTTTGGGGGAAGGGATACCTACACTCTGGGGATTGCTATAATCACTTACTCCCCAGAGGAAGCTCTTGCAATAGCTTGATTTGTTCCTGTTCCTGCTCTCTGGGGAAAGAGAGGTTCACCCACTGGAAGCTGGATCCTGGCCTTGGGTCCAGGGTGGGTGGAAACAGCAGAGACCCCGGCGCAGTTGCATCGCTGGAAGTGGGGTCTGCAGTGCTGATGGTGTCCGTTGGAGTGCTTGGAGTCCTCAGCGAGCACTAGGAGCATCGATTGGAGGAGGTACTCAGTCGGAGTGCCAGCGTTCCGTCACACTTTCCTATGAGACCGACTGAATGCGCCCGCAGCTCTTGCCGCGCATGGGCATTCAGCCGAAAGGGAGGATCGGAGGCGGAGAGGAGGAGGAGGTAAGCTCCCCGCCCGGCGCTGGAAAAAAGGTACGTTTTAACCCTTTCCTCTCCCCAGAGCCGGGCGGGAGGGGGACCCTGAGGGTGGGGGCACCCTCAGGGCACTGTAGTGCCAGGAAAATGAGTATGTTTTCCTGGCACTATAGTGGTCCTTTAAATATCAAAAATCACACCACACCACAATTTACTCAAATCTAATGCGTATGTTTTTTTTTTTTTAATAAAGCTTCCAAAATTTGAATGTGCATTAGATTTCATGGCGCATAACATTTGCGGCAAAATTAGAAATTTTCTGTCAAATTGCATTCCGAAGAATTTCATTCCGTCAAATTCACACATGCAAATTAAAACTTGTGAATTAAAACTGGTGACTTCAAACTGGCGAATTCACACAGGTAAATTAAAACTGGTGAATTCAAACAGGTGAATTCACACAGGCAAATTCATACAGACGAATTTCAATCCTGTGAATTAACACAGGCAAATTTTGTTACTGAAAGAGGTCTTAAAGGACCACTATAGTGCCAGGAAAACATACTCGTTTTCCTGGCACTACAGTGCCCTGAGGGTGCCCCCACCCTCAGGTTTCCCCTCCCGCCCGGCTCTGGAAAGGGGAAAGGTGTTAAAACTTACCTTTTTCCAGCGCTGGGCGGAGAGCTCTCCTCCTCCGATCCTCCTCTTCTCCTCCCCGTCGGCTGAATACGCACGCGCGGCAAGAGCTGCGCGCGCATTCAGCCGGTCACATAGGAAAGCATTATCAATGCTTTCCTATGGACGCTAGCGTGCTCTCACTGTGATTTCCACAGAGAGAATCATGTAAGCGCCTCTAGCGGCTGTCAGTGAGACAGCCGCTAGAGGAAATAGGGGAAGGCTTAACCCATTCATAAACATAGCAGTTTCTCTGAAACTGCTATGTTTATCAAAAAATGGGTTAACCCTAGCTGGATCTGGCACCCAGACCACCTCATTAAGCTGAAGTGGTCTGGGTGCCTAGAGTGGTCCTTTAAACGACCACTCTACACCCTCAAAAGCATTTCAGCTTGGTTTAACGCCAGTTTCTAAAAGTACTGATTTCTATGAGAAATCTGCACTTTTATAAATTTGCTAGGTAACCTCCCCCTCCCCTACCCCCCCCCCCACCCGGCTGTCAATCAAACAGCCAGCCAGAGAGGTTTGCTGCCTCCTTCAGTTAGCTCCCCTGAGCTAACGTAAGTGGCACGCATGCTCACTAAGAGAGACCTTCCCCTAAGAGATCGCAGACCAGCTGCAGACATCATACCATGCTCGCACATGAACCGGTGTGTGCACACCTAACTGTACATGTGCATACATGAGCCATTGTGTGCACCAATTCAGTGGCTTCTCAATGAGAAGTCTCTGATTGATTATTTACCTGTGAAGAGACTAAAAGTCTCTTCTAGTGGGAAAAAGGGGAGGGCTTGCTAAGGCTGCAGTTAATAAGATCTGCAGCCTTTACAAACTCTTTTAACATATACCCCCAATGAATGCATGCCAGAAAATTCATGCATGTATTCATTGGGGTATATCTACTAAACATTGATTTTCTTTTCTTGTGGGCAGTGGAGTGCTCCTTTAAGAAAGAATAAACTTATCAAGTAACACAAAAAATTTAAATACCATCAATGTTATTATGGTATATGGCAATAAACATTTTCATTGTAGCAGAATGCTGTATATTAGTATCTTGTATAAATGCACATTACATTCGCCAGCAAACAAAACATTTCAGCATCCAGGTTTCAAAAATTGAGGTGCACATTATATTCGATGTCACATTAGATTTGAGTAAATATGGTATTAACTGACTCTTCTTACATGTTTTGATTCAGCATAGCATACGTTAAACCTTTAGTAGTGTGTGTGGAACTGCACTCACTCCCATAAATCTGAGCCAAGGTGCTTGCTGAACCGGAATCAAACACCAGATTTCCAAAAATGAATAAAGTAATAGAGGTCCAAGCACTCCTTGGTTCAAGACAGGTACTTTATTAGGAACCACAACAGCAACGTTTCAACCCCAAAGACCTTTTGGGATCGAAACGTTGCTGTTGTGGTTCCTAATAAAGTACCTGTCTTGAACCAAGGAGTGCCTGGACCTCTATTACTTTATTAGCATAAGTTAAAGGCCGATATTCATTAAATTAAGTTTCTGGTTAACAAAATGGAGTTTGCATTGTTGGCATAACTGCTAAAAATCATAGAACTACAGAAATGTATTATTACACTGTGATATATTCATTATCTAAATGGAGGAATGTATATACTTAGTTAAATTGTAATCTTAATTTCTATTTAATTTTGCAACAATACAAATATGGAGCAGATCAATATGCCATCCATCTGCAACATCAAGTGACATTTATTTATTTATTTTAACACTAATCAGTGATATCCGGGGGCCTGGAGTAAGTATTCCTTTAAAATCAGCATGACGCAGGTTTATCTTATTTAAGCCCTGGTAATGACATCTAGCTATTAAATATTCGAAATTATGCTATAAATGCTTAAACTGTCAGTAAGAGTCACGCCTGTGATTTGTCTGGCAGTTTACAGGAGGATTTTGGATTGAAGGCTTATTCGGCTACAGGAAGAGCATGTAAGCTTTGGCCGGTTTCCATGACAACAGTGTGCTGCAGCGATGATCAATTACAAACAGAGAGTATATGACTGTCTTTCATATTAAGCTATTCTTTCTTCCATGATATGAGATCACTTACATACAGTTATTGCTTTGTTACTTCTGTTAATTTAGATTTTTTGTCTATGAACTAGGGGATTATTTACTAAACATGCATGTTTTAAACTGGATTTCATTTCTAAACATCCTATTAACTGCATCATTTTGTTATTTAATCTCCCTGGCGGTAATCCTGAGCGTGGCTTGGGGTTAATTTTCAGTACCAAAAGCGATAACCCTGAGCCATGCTCGGGATTACACTGTAGTATCACTTACCATGTCCCTACTAGCCCCTG